CCCCCACCCCCCCCCCCCCCCCCCCCCATTTGGATTTCCTGGGCACGCTACTGGTCTCATGAATGAACGTATGCGAGAACGCGCACGCACATTGTGGGAAAAAGTGAACCCTGAGAACCTCAAGACACCCAGGACACCCGTGGTTCCTAACCGGTGTGCCGTGAGATTTTCGGATTGAATATGAAAAAATATCTTTAAATATCTGTGGGGACTCTGTTCCTCCTCACGCCTGCGTCTATTTTTGCCGACCCATTCTCTCCGCCACTCATTCCGATCGCCGTGCCGTGACTAAGAATAGCGAGTTTCGACGATGGAAGGGTGTGACCTGCACGGAGTTGTCCTTCGTTCGGTTAAGGTTTTTTTTTGTTTATTCAGGCGGAAGTGCAACTACGTGGTTTAAGGCTTGTGGTCGACGTTTCCATCGAAAGTAAGTTGAGAATGATAAAAAAAAGTATCGAGTCGCAAATTGGTTGAGGCCAGGTTTGCTATGAAAAATTGAAGTGTCTTAATGTGTGGCATAATTAAAAAATTACATTTATGTGCAAACCATATTAAACGTAACTCTTTCGATGATATCGATTATCGATATGAAAATACTTTTTCTTTACGTCACTAGGAAAGGAGTATCTGATTTCTTCATTAAATCTTTTAGCCCTGTGACCAGAACCCGGATGGTCAGATGTTTAACTCTTTGTTTCATCTTCTCATTCCCAGAGAATCTCTTCAAGATACTTTGCCTAATTACGATCGCATGTCTTCACGAAAAGGTAAATGTCTAAAACGAGTAGCGCACCATCTCTCGATTCCCTGAAGGTACTACTCATCAGGTCTCGTACCTCCGACCCAAAATCATTCCCTCTCCGGGTTATCTTTTTTTATTTTCCCTCTTTTCGGCGATTCTCTCTCTCTCATCACGCTGAGAATACGATCTTTCGCCTCCGGCTGATGCGCGTGCACCCATCTCCAGTGCATCCACGTCAACCGGGTGGGGTTTGACTCGCCTTCGTCCGCAGCCAGATGCGTCCCCGGTCCACCCGACTACTCTGCTTCTACGTCCAATGAGCGGTGCTTCGGCGTGCAAAAAGCAAGGGTTCCGGGGTCGTATTGGGGGGGGGGGGGGAAGTAGCAGAAGCTTTCGGACTGGAATCATAGAGTAGAGAGAGTAACTAGAGGCGACACTCCAAGGGGTAGGGGAGGGTCAAAATATTACAGACATCTGGTGGCTTGTTTTCAACAACACTTCCATGCGGCGTGCTTCGTGGCAGCGGAATCGGGAAACGACTCATTCGGGGATTCGACCCAAAGGGATCCCTCAACGTAACACGCGTGTATCGTTGAGTCCGCTGCTCGGCCGTGGAAGAGTTGTAAATGCGCGCCCGCCCGCCGGAGGATCGACAGCGACATCTATATTGCGACCTTGTCAATTAATGGGATTCGACGGAGTGTCGCCTCTCTACTATATGCCGGAATTGGACGGTGCGTTTCGTCACTCGTCTCTTGGGCGCACGGAGCAATTGAGTGCTTCAGTTCAGCCGACGCTTTCCTGCATTCAGATATGACAGAAATGTATTTAAGCTCGTGTTCCGTTGGATACAAATCCACTTTCTACGCATCGGGCGTGGAGATAGGGGTCGCCATCTGGTGAAAATAACAAGAGCTTGCCATAGCAATCGACGGTGGTTCAGCAGATTTCTCCAGGGATCTTAGTAATCGAACTCGAACTCTGAGTACTTTCCAGATCTACTAGTTTTCCCGGAGAAGGAAAATGCTCGTGAGGCAGTTCAAGGGCAATCGATGGTGAAGCCCATTCAAGGGCACCTGATTGGCTGCAAACAATCGCATCATTGGGAGCAAGAAAATTGTCAGGTGTGCTCATTTAAGTACTATGGCCTGATGTCTTCGGATGTAACCCATCAAAATATCCTCACGTGTAGAAAAGTCCTTGAAAGGAGACTCCTGGTTAGAAAATAAGTACTCTTGATTTTGAAAATGAAAAAGATTTATGGGCTCAGCAAGGTATTGCACTTGAAAAACATTCAAAACACGCTCATCTTCTTTAACTCAGAAAAAAGAAAATTTGCTTTCCATGTTTACAGTGAATTCACATGATTTCAATCAGTCAGAAGCAGTCTTTCCTGTGTCCCTAATTGCATCAAGCTGTATTGAAATGAGTGACACAGTACCAAGCGAAAGGAGTGATGTGAGGGAAAGGCTTCATGAAACACACTTCATGTCGAGAAAAAAAAATCCTCAGTAGGTTTATTATGCAAATCCTGGTACTACAGGACTGCAGGTTATACAAGACACCTGCCCTCTGGGGTTAGCAAGCAATGGGGACACCAGACTTCTCTAACCATTCCCTGCTGCAAAGCAAAAAAAAAAAAATCTGCCAACTGTCCTGTGGACAGAATTCTTAGAACAAGACCCATAGGGAGGCACAGGTATCTAATCTAATATTTTTAAAACTCTATCTGGAGTCCCCATGGACTGTAGCAGTCACTGCATAAGGAGGAGGAGGAGAAAACTGATTCCAAAAGGCAACTGAGTGAGGCAGAGGGACTGGAGGTAGCATAGAAGCCAGTGAAGAAGAAGAAGAAGAAACAGCACTGGCAGCACTAATGGCACTTGGCATGGTAGGCAGTGGGAGTTCACACTTGCATTGCACACGAACTCATGGTTTTGTCAAGCAAAGCTGCTTGAGTTTGGCACACACAAAAACCGCCACGGAGAGAGACAAAGTCTCTGGGAGAAGCACCAGAAATAAAACGAAATGAAAAAAAAAAACGTTAGTCGACAAATTCTCTTTCCCACAACCTGACTTTTCTAAGCCTTACGCTACAGAATGTACAAGAGTGATAAAAAATAGAGAACAGCACAATTGAGAATTTTCTGGACAGTCAGATAACAAAAATCGTTGTTCAAGGATAACACAAAACTTGACTTCATTCTAAAGTTCAATTTATCATTTTGAGATTTCCCTTGGTTAACAACCAAGCATTTTGTCTATCTACTTCAGATAAGGCAGACCTAATGGCATTGATAATACAATTACTATTCTGCATCAAGGGGTGAATCAATCTTTCATAATCAAGCATTGCTATAGGTCCATGACATGTTCCTAAAACAAATCATAATTTGATATTCTAATTCTACAAAGACATGTTATGATTCTTATATATAGGCACAACTAGTGAAGTTGTTACTTAAGGCAGCAACACAAACTTCCATTTTTGGCAGGTTATATATTGTGCTAGTGTCTTGTTAATTTCCAGCAAATCATTTTTAAAAATTCAAAGGTGGGTGGATAGATTCCAGGTGGGTCTCTTCAGAGATCGCATGTTGAATCAGTTATTGGCAGTGCAAATTAATGCAACTGAATTTTGAACTTTTCTGGAATGCAAGTATTGCAAGAAATGTCTGGGAATGTAATTATGAGTAAGAAAAGACAAAACAACATTGACAGCAGAAAAAAAAAAATCAGCAGGCCATCTGAAAACAACAAATGACAGCCCCAAGCACAAGAAGTGAAACTAGAGAACAGGATAAGGAGTATTGATTGGTCATGGGTCTCATTGCCCATGGAATAAATAGACCTACTTCACATTCAAAGCTTCTTGGTCACAAAAAGAAACCTGAAAGCGTTTGTTCTCATTGTTTCATCCTTGTACAAATTTCATCACAGAATCACAAAATGCTGAAATTAACATGAGATTTCCTTAGCTTGTGGATTTCCATCGTTGTTTGGCCACTTGTCTTTTCACATGTTTGGGTAGAAGGAGCGTACACCCTGCAAGAATGGAAAAAAAGTACATGAACTCTCAGATGCCCTCCTCTTATCAGTTGAGTAACTTGGAACTAGTAATATGGTCTCAAAAGTATGAGTCACAAACCGGGATCTGGGGGAGGGTGGCAGTTCCATATTGATCTTCAAGGCGATTGATGTGGCAGCTCTGACAGAGGAGGTGGCCATCCATTGGATAGCAGCGTTTATCAGGTTCATCTGTCAACTGCATCCCACAGTCCTAAAATAATGATATTCTTCTTTATGATCTCAGTAGACATACCACCTTCCCCGAATTAAACAATTGAAGTGCTAACCTTGCTTTCACTCAATAGATATGAGATATTGGAACTTGCTTTTATGATAAATCTGATTTAACTGATAATAAAATAAGTAGCTATTTTTAAACAGGCCTACCAGAAGCATATTTTTATTTATAGTGGTCTCACTGTCATCTCTGGTCTGACATGAAGGCACTTAATGGTTGTGGCCAGTCGCTCACGATGTCCAAAAGACACTGCTTCCTAATAAACTATCTTATTTGTCCTGCTTTAAAAGGTTCTGAAGTTTTCAAAGTTCTTTCTTATGCCCTTTCCTATTGAAACAATAGGATGATTCTGTATTTAAATACTTTGATGAGATATTAAGTAGCTATTTAAAATTTCTTCAATGCTTAAAAATAAATATGAAGTACTTTCAGACATGACAGTCAATAATGCATTAAATGTACTTAACAAAAACTTGGATTTTTAATCTTCATATACTTGCATGCTGTTCATGATGCACTGAAAACTTATGATAGTGCTTGTGTAAGGCAGTTTTTTTGTGTTTTTGGTAGTTAAAGGGTTAAAAAATGCTCTTCCAGTCATTCCATTGGTCATGGAAGTATAATCAATTAGTCCCTGAGCAAATGAAGCAAGAGATAATAACAGAAGCCTACATTGAAGCCTGGATTCTATTATTTTTGAGAGCAGTTTGGTTTGGCCAATATTCACATTGTTGTGGGCAGTATGCATATTGTTAACTTGTCCCATAGCACTTACCTTTGCTGCCAGTTATTTGGAATGTTCGTCAAATATGGATTAAAAGATGCAGGAAGAGCAAGGAAACAAGATAAGGTTCTAGGACAAAGGTCTAACCAAAATAATTTCATTACAACTTCAGAAACAACCATGCATCTTATGAAGTGAAGAACAGGACACAAATAATAAAAATATAGATAGAATATTTTATCTATAAGTTGCATAATCAATTGAAAGAATATAACATAGAATCCTGATATTCATCGTGCAATTATTGATAATAATAAATATTCATCATGCAACTACAGTGCACTGAACTCACCTGATGTCTATCATAGCTAAATTTGGCAGTTATATAACATTTTCCAGCAATATTTCATGCCAACTTGCATGAATGTGAAAGAGCAGCATTAATCATGCTTTCCTGTTTCTACTCATTTGTCTCTCAAACAGAAGCACTTGATATAATGATTCAGAAACCACTGGATTGAGAATGTGTCAACAGTGGTCCTGGATATGGTTAACATCTGAAATATATAAACTGCTTCTAAAAAGGAAAATAATAATGATAAAAGAGACAAATAAAGTTTGTTGCCACTTGAACCTCTGTTGGGTCTATAAGGCTCATGGTTCATGGCACCATAGGTAAAAAAAGAAAAGAAACAGTTAGTAAAACTCTTCCTTCTCATCTAAGTAGATATAAGCATGCATAAAATTGCAGTCTTGTCCTCCTCACCTCACAGACGTAACAATCAACATGAAAATCCTTGTCCATGGCAACAACCCTCACTGTTTCCTCTGTTCCCTGCAATGATATCATTGGACCGTCCATTGTTCATTAAGTTCATTATCAGTTTCAAAGAGAACGAATAATTGAAATTAATATTTCCATCAAAAGTCTTTCAGTAACAAAAGTGCTAGAGTATGATAATAAAAAATTCTGACAAACATGCCCAATACCACTCATTACACTTGGATCCTTCTTAGTAAAATAATTTACAGGTAGTTGTATATTTAAGCATTAAAACACTTTTTCTCCAGGAAAGAATCTCTAAAAACTGTTCTAGGAGAAAAGCTTGGACAACCATTCTTGCCTGGATTTGCAAACTGCAACTTACCTCAACAGGCGTGATGGCTTTATTGCAGGCAGCACACTTGGGAGCATAGACTCTGCAAAAAAAAAAAATACAGCAAAAGTGGCAATCAGAGACCTTCCATTCAAGATTCTTATATCCCTCTCAAGAAAAGTGGCATAAACCTACTTGTGATAGTCATTGACACAATAGATCTTATTGTCTACATCAATGGTAAATGGCACTCCATCCAGACATTCATTGCAGACACAGCATCGGAAGCAACCAGGGTGGTATGACTTCCCCATGGCTTGTAGGATCTATGTAGAAAAATTAATACACATCAAATCCATTTTCAGAAGAAGTCAAGAAAAACAGGATTCAAACTAACAGCTTTCAACAATCACAATTTCAAGAGGTGTCAGAGTAAAGACTGTTATATCTTGTCTTAAATGATCATATTTGCTTTTCAGAATTGTACTTCTTGAAGCATAATTTTTTCATACTTTATTTTTTTTATCTTGGCAATATCTACTTCATTAAAAAATTTGCAAAATTTTAATGAAACACCATTATATTTATGTAATGTTCATCAAGCAATGTTGTTGCAGCCCTCTCTACAACCTGCATGGGCTACTCACCAAGCCTCCAATAAGCTGACTATAGCTACAAGGCTATTTCTATTTATGGTAAAAAATGTGGGTTTTCTTTGGTTAAAGCAGAGTACATGGCAGTACAAACATTGTGAACAAATCAATGCAGAGTTAAAAAATGCCATGCATGATGTGCTGAGAACATCTGTTTTTCCATTGCTACAACTTGAATCATTATAACCTAACCAGATGGTGCATGTGTTTTTTTGCATTTCAGTGGAAATAAACAAATTAGACATAAGAAACTTCATCTGTTGTATCAAGGGGTGACCTAATGTGCTGCAGCATGGTTAAAGTTAATAGCTTTAAGCCAACCAGCTGACATCCAATTCCCAACAGCCAATAAAAGGCATGATGTTTCCCCAATTGCACAGGTCAGTCATGAATTGGCACTCTCCCATGATCAAGAAATCCCAACAATAATAATTGCTGACATTTCATTGTTAACTTCTTACCAGTCTGTGATGATGTATAAGTTGAGAACCATATACAATAACATCAACTTTTGCTAACATAGGCATTAAATAAGTAAAAATGCTATTGTATTTTGAGGAGACATAACTCAGCATTAGCATAATACTGACCATTACACCAGCATATTATTGCCTAACAGTGAACTGAGTAACCTTTGAATGGTTTGCCCTTTGAAACTGTGTAGACACAATGGCTGACATGCAACAGTTAAACCTAAATTTTTCTGAGTTCATGATAGTCCTTTTTGGAAATCAGTTTAACTGAGACAATCTCATTCCCATAGATACCCATTATGGAATTAGATCAGTTTACAGTTAAATTGAACTGGTGCATGCATGCTTGCTACAAAAGAAAACTCTTCAAAGTTGGCATTAGATAAAATGGAATTTTCTTCCAAATAAAGGGTCAAAAGACATCCAAATTGAAGCCAAATAAATAGAACAATCCCAAATTGCAAAAATTTATTAATTTTTCCAGTTCCTTTCATTCTAACAAAATGCACAACTTAAAAAAATACAGGATTTTTCAATTAATATTTTCTTTTGGAAATTTCTAATAACCAACCTTGGTCATAAGAGGCTCTAAATTGGATATTTAGCCATGACACATGGCCACACTACCTACATTATGAGGAAATCAAATCATGCAAAAACTTCATAGCTCATCATTAATATTTTCACAGGAGACAAAAAAAAAAACGTTATGTTATGATTTGGACAATATATCACATTGATACATTTTTGCAAAGCTACCTCCATTGAACAAGTGCCACAGTTTCTTTGAAATCTAGTACAGAATCCACCTCCTATTTATTAATTCAAGGAAGAAACATTTATCTGGCATTCAATGCTTGAAAAGTGGGTAAATTAGGTTGGAAAAGGGAAAAACTCACAGTCTCCATAATCAGGTGACCACAAATAGCACATTTCTCAGCTGTCTGCTGAAATCCTGAGTACTGCAATGATACACAAAAGTATTAATTATAAAAATGAAACATCATATATTCTTCTTTTAAACAAAAATAGATCCAATAAATGCTTTTTCATTTGAGAATGACATCAAACCATTAAGAAATTCCATCAAAGTCTTAGTCACCTGGAAATGATTCTACAGAAAGAGAACCATTTTTAAGAATATCAAGGGCTTATATACTGTATATGCCCAGTCCAATCTCCCTATTCTGGTATAAAAGATTTTGGAGAATAAAGAAGGGTTCTGTCATGCTCTTGAGGTTGAGCAGAATTTAACAAGGAGAGGGAAGGATCAGGGAAAAGGGGGTTGCCAGAGCTTCATTTAGCAAGCTGCCAGGATAAGCAGTCATGAGCTCTTCAAGCATGAAAGTCTGTTCAAGTTAAAGAAACTTATGTTCATGTTTGGTGGATAGTGAGGAAACAAGTTCATAACAATAATCAAGGGACATGACAGTGGCTCCAATAGAGATCATCTAAGACCAACACATGAGAGTAAGAGGTCCAGGATTTGCCTTATACTTGAAATTTGACATGATTTGGAAAGGATAGGATTGGATATTGGGTTGGTTTTCTCACAGGTGAATAAAGCATGTGAGGTATTGGAATGAAATTCAGTTGTACCAGCCAGCAAACCCACCAGATAATCCTCTTCACAATAAACCTTCCCATTGACGTTGTAAAAGGCCTTCCACCTCAGTGCTCGTCCACAGGAGCAGCAAATAAAGCAACTTGTATGATACAGGTTTCCCATTGCCTGACAGGCCTGTCCAGCTCCAGTCACCTTCTCACCACATGTGTAGCATATCCCTAAAAACAAAATGTCCACTTTCAATACAGAAAACTTCTTAAGGTCACACTGCCACCCTGGATACAAATGAGAAAACAAACCAAAATATTCTCCTTCTTCCTCTCGATTCTCCATCTCTTCTTCAATCTGGCGAGTCAGGGCCTCTATTTTCTTCTCAGCTTCTGTAGGCCCCTATTTCCACATCATGCAAAAAAATTCACAAGTGAAAATGGAATACAGGTACAAACTCTGACCTATCCTACTGTGTATAAAAGGTGCTCACCAGTGGGCGAGGGGGAGTTACATGATAAGGCAGCAGTGTCTTGCTGCCAATATTCATAATCTTCCCTGGTGCATGATATTGAACATTTTGAGGGATATTTGTTAGGGGTGGAATGGGCATACGTCCTCCTGAAGAGGAAACTCCATTGTCTGAAGTTGCAAATGATGCCACAGGAGGCCGGGAGGGAGGCATACAATATGAAGGCATAGTTGGAGGCACATGAAAGCGTGATGTTGAATTTGCTGTCATGGGACCCCATGAATATGGCTCACTGTCACTCACAAAGGCTTGTGGAGCCCCTGGGTATGGTGGTGGATCAGGCAGATATGGCTTGGCATGAACATTCACGTTGGAATGACTGACTGGAGGGCCATTAGCAAAATGATATAATGGTCTTGCATGGATTGGACCATGTGACCTATTGCTTGACAATTCATTCCCCAGATTCATATTGCTCATAGCTTCATCAAGATATACAGCATCATTTACTTGGTGCCCTTGACTCCTGATGGCAGACACATGGTCAGAGTAGCTGGGGGGGAGAATGCCAGCAGGTCGTTCTCGAACTGGAACCTGCGGCTGTGCCTTCTGATGACCGTGGGGCTCATTGAACTCCCCTGGGGAAAAATAGGCATCTCCATACATCACAGCATTGCGGTTGAGCATAGGAATTTGACTCTCAGCTTCTTGGTTCATTCCACCTCCACCCCTAGAATCCAATGGTCTTCCCAGATGTCCATTCCCATAATCTCCATTGGAAGCCACAGCAGCATATGAAGGAGGATGCATTCTGCTGATATTCTCATAGATGACCTGATTTGCTTTTTGTGGCAAAGGTAAGCCCTGGGAGCCTGAGTACTGAGACTCCCTGCTAGAGTTACTTGCAACACTTGATCGTGGGCTGGAGTGGGTTGATTCATGAGAGCCATAGGCTGGTGGGGCCTTGTACAAACCCAGGTTTGATAAAGGAGGCCTTTCCACCATTGATGATCCTCCAGTTGCTGGATGTTTTGAAGGACCTGACCTTTCTGTTGGACCATTCACTTGAGGGATTTTTGCAGTTTTTGGAATGCCATTTGGCTGACCAGGTCCATAGTTTGAAGAAGTTGGAAGCGGCGTTGGCAGGCGAGATGCAGCCACAATACTGTCACGATCAATTTTCTCATTCAGAGGTGACCATTCAGACCCAGAACTCGTTCCTAATTTGGAAGATACAGAACCCACAGGTCTTGAAACAGGGTTTTGCACCTGCCTGATGTCCTCACTTGGCTTCTGGTTTGGAAGCCCATTCTGCGAACGTGTCAGCAATTGAACCCGGGAAGATGAACTTTTGTTCAATTCTTGCAGGATGTTATCCAGTTCATAGGAATTTGGCTCTCTTGCTGGCACACTTGCACTGCTTGATTGGAATGATGCTATTTTTCCATACACTGGTGCTTCAGGAATGGGGCCAGTTGACCTCAAGTTTTCATAAATACTACTGCTACCATTACCACCACCACCACCACTGCCACTACCACTACCACCACTTTGTTGGCCAGCTGATGTCTTTGAGTATAATTCTCTTTTGCGCAGGAACTCTTCAGATGCAGATGTATCTGATTTTTTAGGTGCAGAGGATCCAGGGTAGTAATTTCCCCGGGAAGTAACTTCAAACATGTTCAGATCATGCAGGATGCTATCAACATCCATTTTCATGGACACAATTTCTGAAGTTCCTTTTTGTTCTGCTTCAAAAATTAAGATGGATCAATCAATCATCACGTGAAAGGCAGGCCTGTGCTAGGGACTACTAGTTTTGGTTTAACTCTTTCACTGCAGACTTTTCTTACACAATAGTTAGTACTTCCTAACCAATGTTTATTAAATTATACAGCAAAAGAAATAAAGGCAAAATTTTTCAAGATTTGGAAGAGTTATCTTCCAGGAATGGCAGACCACAACCAACACAGCAGAGATATCTACATAATATAAAATATCATATTGAATAGGATGAGACAAAAAAGCTACATTAATTTGGCTTCAAATGCATTTAATCAATTTTCAGTTCTACAGTGAGATATTAAAAAAGGCACTAAGTCTTTGTCATATTGAGTAACAAATTCTTCTCAATTCAAATGGTGTTGAACTTGACAACCCAGGATGATAAAACTTCATCTGTTGCCAAACAAAAAGTAATGAACATAACAATTAACCTAAGGTACAAATTCAAATTGCATGAAATATGGAGCCAGAACTATTCTGACCAGGCAAATATGTGAGAAAGATGCTGTTAAGGGTTGACGTAAAGCCATACATTTAGAGTAGACGAAAAAAAGAAACCAAGCACAACTACTCAAGAATTCCTTTACAAGAAAAGATGGCTATAATCCACTTAAGAGCTACACATATGAATACTCCATGGCAAAGTCAACTGACAAGAGATTTTCAATATGGCCTCCATATTTGGACAATGACTCAAATGTGATCAGCACCTGCAAATAGTGCTATCAAAAAACCCTCAGAGAGATAGCATCCTACTCTTGGATATTCTTTCCTTGCTGAAAATAGGTAACAGATGAGGTTAACAAAGTAATGTATAGTAACTGAAATGATAAGTATAACAAAAATAAGCACCAAGACTTCTAATGCAGTGGCCACTTTCAGTCAATTTGCCCTCTGTCTCCATGCATAAGAGCCACCTAGAGGATTTTTTCATGTATCTGGGTGATATAAGGATAAATTACCTTTGATGCAATATACTATTACAGAAATGTTAAATTTAATGTTTATTATGCTTACTGCTTATATTAAAGCCAGAGTTTGGATAGTTTCTGGAAGAAGACACTTTCAAGTTTATATTTGTAACATGAAAAATGCTAATCTGTCCATGCTACTACCAACATATTCTTGATCCATATTATTTGAAAATCTACATTGTCTAACTTAAGCAAACTATGAAAACAGTATTCAGTTGCAATTCCTTCACTAGATTCAAGATGTTCAAGATGTTACATTAATTTATTTTTATTTAGAATGATTCACCTATACATAAAAACTGACCCTGGATGATTTGGAACATAGAAATGAAACTTGAATTGTATCCAAAGACAAGCTTTCTAAGCATCAACATTTTTGCAGAGGCTCTTGAAATAGGGAAAGCTGTACTTTACTCATGATGGATGATGTCCATAGTGAAATCCATGCTCTGAGACTAGTTTTTCAAGAACTATGTGCACCCATCCTTAAGAGCCTTGATGGGCAATCGATTTTGTTGAATATGATATCAGGGTCAGGGAAGACAGGAAAAGTTCTGGAATGTGGAATGCAACCCAAGGATTGGTTTCTATGACAACCTTCATTGAGATTGTAGGAATAAAACACCCACACCTGTCAGGCTGGAGACATGTTATTCTGAATGTTGTTTCTGACTCAGTTGACTGAATTTGGTATCATGCCTTGCAGTCAACTTTTCCTGATTTTCTGGATCAATACTACACTATAATTAAAACTTTCAAGACAGATTACTGAGTTAACTTTAACTTGCTGAGCCAGACCACTAGATCATCAAAATCTGACTGAGCTTTTGAAGATAATGCAAACTACTCCTAAGGGATAAAGGCATAACATCTGCAGGCAATTTTGCTTGACCATGGGTGCTTTGGAACATTGTTTCAATGTACAAAAAGTGAAATAGTAATGGGTTCTAGGGTGAATCCCTAAGGTACCCCAAAACTTGTACATCAATGGCATCATCTTGATAGTGATAGAATAACAGTGAAACAAATTTCAATTTAGGCACCAATTAATCCTTCAAATACAGCAACATGACAAAATGTTCGACATTGTAAGAAAAAATTGTGTTGTGTTCAAATCTTTTCTCAGTTTGAAAGCACAGCTAAGGGTTAAAGATAGTGGAGCAGACATGTGGTCATGATCTTCCTACATGGGAAAAGGCTGTCTGTAAATAAGCATTTCAACAAAGCTGGAAGTATGGCTGAATCACCTTGTTTGGGTAGAAAAAGGCCAGTTCGTATTAAACCAGCAGTGGAAACTGTGACAACAGCTTTTGCACATGACCCTGCATATTGGTCAGACATGTTACTGCAGAACTGAAATTTTCGCCTGTATACATTTTTTTCCCAGACTTTTTCTATAGAAAAGTAAAGGAAAGGGTTTGTGCTCAGAAACTTGTAACCATTTATGAACTCCATTTATGAAGAAAAAAATCACTGAGGTTCTGCTGGGTTCTGTCTGGACCCATACTAAATAATCATTTGTTACACTGAACCCTTATGTGAGTGCATAGATAAGGGCTGACCAATCATGTATATTTTTTATATGAATATTGGATTATAGTTATGCATTAAGATGAGGTCTGTGAAAAGTTCCTGTGTTTCTTAAATAACATCTGAGCATTTAAGTCTGTTCAAGTGTATATGAAACTTCCTGCACAGTAGTATTAAGTTTTGATTAACTTAGAATGGGTAATTGTCTCCCAGTCTATTATGGTCGATTTTTAAACTCATATTCAACTACTTATTTGATTTAATGCAGTTTAAGCCTGTAATACACTATGATCTAGTAAAAACATGTCCATGTGAAGTGTTACCTTCATGTCTAGCAATATGGTAGGCTATTGGATGAATGAGACCTTAGCCTACCTTTTGGATGAAATAACTGTAGGACTAGACCGATTGCTAACAGCCTCAATAACCAATTTGAACTTTTAACATCTGTTTAGGTCTATGGTAGAAGGCATGGCTTTTGCAAACTTAGAGGCAACTTCAGACAACATTATTTGTTACAGCTTGTGTTCAGGCAGATGTAAAGTTCTTGTTATGCCTGGACATGTTGGGAGATCCACCATTGCTCTGCCAGTCCTGTGGCAAGAAATTTGCTTTCTGCAAAATCTCCAGAGCAATTCTTTATGCATGAAAAACATGCCTTCCAGTTTAACTATATCACATCTAGACCTCATATTAGTCCTAGGGCTGCCACTTTTCCTTCATCCTGGAGTAGTCTATTCGAATTTCGAAGTGTCTCATGAAATACATGACAAGTGGCAAATCTAGGTAGGCTTAACTGGAGAGCCCTAACCTTAGGTTAAAGTTGACAATTAACTTACATCAAACTGAGCCTGTTACTGAAATCAGGTCCAAGTCTACCATTCTAACCGACAAGCTGACATGAAATCACTGCAGGATTAAGTCGTTGCCTCCATCTGAGATTGGCAGTCAAAGGGCGACCTCGTAATAAGTCTTACGATGATTGTAGGTTATTTTTGGGCAAGTCGGACCTTTCTCACTTAACCGCGACACCCAGGTTCCCCGAATATGGCTGGCCACGTGAGTAAATGTCCTACTTAAAGTAAAAACACTATACGGAAAGGGCTAACGTAAGGCCTACGCCTAGAGCAACGCAGTAAATACTTCAGGCTGAACCACATCTCAAGGATCAATTGCAGCCAACAAACATTTAGATGCTTGCGCCAAAAGGGATTTACTATGGATCCTAGGGTAATCAACAGGCCTCGATCATATCCAATACTGCGCCCTAAATGAAGGAGGGCACCATGGCGGGCACAGTCTATATGGGAATCCGCCATGTCATGACAACAGTGTCCTCTGCGGCAATCCGTATGCATCACTTATGGCATGTTGCCCCGAAGGGTATCCATGAGGAGGAAGAGGAGAACGCGCGCGATGGCTAGATGAGCAGATTTGGCGCTCCTTTGAAGCATGTCCAACTGTGACGGATTTCAACTTATCGACTGGGCACACTGCGCGTTAATAGCAATTACACCCGTCAAATGAACAGCAGTCTTTACCGAGTTAACAGAAACTAAAATACCCTTGTTCCTCTTTCAGTTAACTACGACTAAATCGGAGAACTATTAATAGAATCAAAGAACAGTGCCCTATTGGTTTATTCCATGGGAGGAACCGAAACGTGGCCATCGACTGAGAACAGGTTTCACAGGATACCAGTTTCAGCTTATCGAGGACCACGACATCTGTGTAGCATGGCTTGCTGCTCCTGGTCAGGTAGGCCATATGCCGCATACGGCGACGACGGCTTCGTGTGCAGGGTGACAAAGACTATCTGCTATGGCAAATTAGGCTCTTTTTTTATAGTTATTATAGCAGATAGCTTTAAATATACTGAAGAGGATGTTCACTTCACTTTACTTCTGCCCATGTCTCGAGAAAGACTAAGTTACCCTTAAAAAAAAAAGTGGGACACGAAGGGTTAAACCCTCACTTCTGTCGTCACACCTCCAGTTGGACTTTTCGGTTGGGGCTGTTACTAAAATAACTACTGCAATATACTGAGTTTTATCATGACCTCCAGGAGCCTTCTCTGGCGGGGATATTTTGAAAGTTCCCGCAAGAAGCGAGGGAACGGTGCTCTCACCCTTTCTCGGATGACTTGTGGGAGCACCGTTCCCATTCGTTCCCACGAACGTTCTTCACTGCCCAGAACTAATTCTTCGGATCGACTCAAAGCGGTTTTCAGTGCGCCGGATTCTCGCGAAACCGCTTCCAAGTCGAGCGATTCAGCCAAGATGAATCAGTCCGGAGACGAAGCGTTCAAAAATTCAAGTCCAGATGCTGATTGCCCAGATATTTTCAGTTTAATTCCAGTTTAACTCCAGCCATGGGGGAATTACTGTAATTGAACTACGAAAGAAACGGCTGAAGAACGACGATGAGTCGCCATTCAGTTGCAAGTCATGGCCATTCTTCAGTAATTGAAGGGCTGAGAGGCAAAGTGGTCTATCTGAAAAAATTTCCGAAAAAAGCGTTGTTGGTTTTTGTGCTTTAGAACCTTGTTCCTTTCATAGAAAAGTATAGTATTTTTTTAAGTAAATAAAGGAGAAGTGCTCTATCGATACATACCACTTTTTCTCTTTTAACAAGGTCATTGGAATATTCACTCATTCCGTGTGGAGCTCGAGGAAAGAATTGTTTGCAGATAGACCACTTTGCCTTTCAGCCCTTCAATTGTTCGTTGTTAAACGATTCGTAGAGGGTTTTTTTTCAGTCAATAGATAAGATAAATAAATAGAAATTGCATAAATTTTCCTGTCACTAGAGTAGCTTCCGTTTATCTCCATGCGACGGAGACCCAATAAAATGGCCTGGAATTGCAGCTCAGTATGGAGAAGTTCCATTAACTAGAGATAAACTGGATTTGGACTTGAACCAGAGACAAAAACCGTAAATAAACTGAACGACATGAAATCACTGCCTGTCCGACACATTAGAAGTCAGGAACTGAAGATGCCGTGGAGCTGAGAGATGACTCATGAGCCAGATGACTCTAGGGGAGTGATTACATGTTTCCTTGAAACTGCCGTTCACGCTCCACGCACTCCCCCCTCCCCTCCCCCCCTGCCCCCTTCCATCATCCACCCTCTCCCCTCCCCTTGTCCCTCCCTCCACCCTCCGCTTTCTCTCCCTTCCCTCATGAAGCAGATCGGAATAATAATGGTTTTAATAAACTTGTTTTTCTTTGACTTTGGCTTTTTCCTTCGCTTTTTATTATTGCTGTGCTGTGTGGTTTCTGCTTACAACTAGTACCATGACCTGATGAAGTAAATTTGATCCGAGTGCGATCACAGCACTAGGGCATGATACGCTGATACGCTCTAATATCCAAGAGGAATATAAATCAGCGCTCATTCCGCTGAGGAGATGCCATAAAAAAAAAAAACATTCGGCCTCCTCGGCCCCCTCCGCGCAAAGCTGCTCTTCTACGAGAGAGAGGAGCCCAAGCGTGTCTCCGAGACTTTGCAATTGGCGTCTAGTAAGGGCTCTGCATTCGACCCAAATCCGGAGGTTCTTCCATTCGAATGCTGGAGGCACACCTCGCAAAAAATGGCTTTCTGCATCCATCCCGTCGTGGCACCTCAGTACCAATCATCAGTCCCGTTCTACACCCTAAACCAAACGATGTACAGGGAAACTCGTGCCAATCGCCGAGACAGTCGCCCCGAAGCGCCACAGGAGAACGGTGGAAAGTATCTCTGCTGTTAGATATCCCAAATTTATGTAAAATGAACCTCCAATTTTCCACGATTTCAATTCTACGGCTTCATATAATTTATGTTTGAAGTTGAGAACGTTAATCATTTAGTCGCTCAAATTTTGAGAAATTTCGAGTCAAATTCATCACGTTCCCATATAATGGGGTTGCTTCGGTTCGCTTTTAAATTTCAAATGCTTCTCACACATTGAAAATTGAGTCGATTGCGATGCATTTTTTCACATGGGCGAAAAAAGATAAGGATAAAGATAAGGGAAAACGGGAAAACCTCAAGGATTGAGGATTCAGATACGATTAATTCGTAAGCGGTTTCGTCCGCCCATCAGTGGCCAAAAAAAAGGCGGGAAATTCCGTGAGATCCATGTCAGTCCTGCTAAAGATTTATTTATTCCAACATAGAAGGAAAAAAAAGAAAAAGTCAACAAAATGGCATCAATTTTGCTTCCAATTAAAAAAATATATATATAACCCAATCTCTTCAATAAATATACGATTCAATGACTAACAACTGACAAATGCGGTGGATTTGGTACCTGCTATTTTGTGCAGGAGATGCCTTCCAAAGAGGTGGGAAACATTTTTTCTTTTTTTTAAATTTATTTATAATAAAAATAATTAAATTTAAAACATTTAAAACAAATTTACACTACACTACAAACTAATTCGAATGTTAATAAACTAATTTTAAAATGAATTAAATTAGATTTTAAAATTTTTCTTTAACTTTTCCACCTTCAAATCTGCTTTGGCCCTACTTGGATCTTGAACATCCTTTTTTTTTCTTTCGACTATGCTTTCCGGTGGGGATTTCTCTCAGCAATGGCAAAAAAATGGAAATTCAATATGCCGGAGGAGAATTGGCTCCATTTTGTGAATGCCGTTGCAGCGTTCCCGGTAGTCTGGTAATAAAGGTTCATTCAAATACGGTGCAAAAATTCGCATATAAACCGACAAGATGAGCCAACATGACGAAAAGAAAAAAAAAAATCAAACCTGCGAGGATGCTAGACAACTGATGAAAATTCGCGAAAATTCGCCCTCGTAACGTGGACGCGGGATCTCGCAAGGGTAAAAGGAGAACCCGGTCCGATGGAAGCGCGGCGGGGAGATTTTTTTGGGGAGAAATGCAGAAAATTCGACATCTTCCGCGTGAATACTCAGCCATCCGGGCCGCGTTCCCGGATGACTCTCCCAGGGAAGAGTCGCATTTTTGTGACCCAGTTATGCCCCGAAGTATGCGAAGAAACAAAAGCGACAGGAAAAAAGAAAAGAAAGAGAGAGCTGGTGGATGTTGGCGAGGCGCCACTCCGTCCAGGCGATGAGTCAGGCGTCTTTCACCTGCAACAATTTGGGCGGATCTGGGGCACGATGAGACGGGGGAATCCGGCGCTGAAGACGATTTGGACGGGGGGGGGGGGGGGGGGGGGGGGGGGGGGCCGTTTGGGGGTTCCCGACCAAAAAAAAAGGTTAAAGAGCGAAAAATTCTTCCTGCTGGACACCGAACCCGAAGCGAGCAAGAGCGTGTGGGCGAGCACAGACGCGGGGGGGGGGGGAGAGAAGAAGAAGGATCGATCAGTTCCTCGATCGTGAATCCTTAGTCTGACCGATGGCCTCGTCACGCCGACGTCCCCATTCATCCTCCCGCCCACGACATCCGCGGCCTCGACCGGGGGAAACGCCGCAGGAGTCGAGCCGTCACGCGAGTACCGAAATGGAAAATAGCGGCTCGTTTTCTCTTCGATATGCGCCTGGCGTAAGACTCCACTCTTCTCGAAGCGATCGCGATTTCTGATCTGCCTCGATTCGTGACTTGCTCTGGGATGAATTTCTTCAGGCCTCTTTCGACACACCCACACGATGGAAATATAGCTAAATCGCTCACGAACGGCAGGGGCTTTCCCCCCCAGCTTCCGATCGCCGAGGCCGACGAAAACGCGAACTCTAAAATTTTTTAAGTATCACTTGCAGCGGGTACAAGAAGTCTCAGGCTGATTTTTAGAAGAAAGGGTTTTCTTTTCCCTCTCTTCTCGGCCATCCTCGGCGACAGCCACCCCTTTGAAAAGAATTTGACCGATTTGTGCCAACAGTTCCGGAATGGGGGGGGGGGGGGGGGGG